TTCCTTATTTCCTTTCGAACTACCAAACAGTTGCTCATGGATATTTGATTTACTATAAACTATTTTGGGCCTATGAGCCCATGTTTTGGCCGTTTGTGGGCCATGCTTTACCGTTGAATATTTCCGTTATTCATTGGTTTAAATGTGATGTTGCTATGTATGTTTACTACAAAGTATGGATATATTATGTTCATGGACGCCTTGTATGACTAAGTCACGTTGACTTGCGAGTGAAGTCACTTGGTTATACGGTGGTTGTTCACACGCTTAGATGCGGTCTGTGGCGTGACAGAGGGGACGACCGTGATGTGGGAACGTCGCGTAATATGATGATAGGGCGATGATTACCCGGCCGTCATATAGAGGCGATGGTCGCTACCCATGAAGGGAATAACGAGCCCAATCGCTAGCTCAAGATATTCGGCTTTGGGGAAGCCGGTCTTGAGATAAAGAATCACGCTGAGGCTGAGGGGTCGATCGTCATTTGGGGACGTACGACGATGATGATCCGGTCCTATAATATGATGATGAGGCGTTGATGAAGCCGACAATCATGTAAGCTTAAGAATCTCGGTGCTGAGTAGGCCAGTCTTGAGATGGGGGACCACGTTGAGACCGAGGGGTCTGCCGTGATCTGAGGACGTCGGCGTTGATGGGCCGTACGTCGTATAAAGGTGATGGTCCCCATCCTGGAAGGGATGGAGAGCCAGATCGGTAGCTCAAGACGCTCAGCGCTGAGGAGGCCGGTCTTGAGAGAAAGGATCACGCTGAGATCGAGGGGCTTACCGTGATCTGGGGACGTTCGGCGCTGATGAGTCGGTCCAAGTAAATGATGATGAGGCGTTGATGAGGCCGATCATCATATAAGCTCTAGACTCTCGGCGTTTAGGAAGCCGGTCTTGAGACAAATGATCACACTGAGGCCGAGGGGCCATTCATGATCTGAGGACGTACGACGCTAATGAAGTCGTCTGTCATATGAAGGTGAGGGTCGCCATCCAGGAAGGAAATGACGAGCCCGCTCGCTAGCTCAAGACTCTCGGCACTGAGGAAGCCGGCCTTGAGATACAGGATCACACAAAGGTTGAGGAGCCGGTCCTGATTTGAGGATGAAAGACTTGCGAGGCCGTTCGTCGTAAAGGCGATGGTCCCATCCTGGAAGGGATGGAGAGCCCGATGACTAGCTCAAGACGCTAGGCACTGAGTAGGCCGGTCTTGAGAGAAAGGATCACGTTGAGACCGAGGGGTCTCCCGTGATCTGGGGACGTTCGGCACTGATGAACCGGTCCAAATAAATGATGACGAGGCATTGATGAGGCCGATCGTCATTTAAGCTCAAGATCTCGGCATTTAGGAAGCCGGTCTTGAGACAAATGATCACGCTGAGGCCAAGGGGCCATTCGTGATCTGAGGACGTACGACGCTGTGAAGTCGTCTGTCATATGAAGGCGAGGGTCGCCTCCAGGAAGGGAATGGCGAGCCCGCTCGCTAGCTCAAGACTCTCGGCGCTGAGGAGGCCAGTCTTGAGGCCGAGGGACTGTTCATGATCTGAGGACGGCAATGCTGAGAAGCCGACTCAAAATATGGTAATGCTACTAGTGAAGAAGAAGAAGAATTCTACGCGTCGCATGTGGTTGGCCGAGAGGTCAAGCTTCCATTGGCCGAGAGGTCACCTCAACTGGTTGGCGCTGGCATCCGCATGTGGCCGCATTTAATGCGGCTGTTAGATGGGACGTTGTACAGGGTACGGTGATCTGTACGCATGTGTTGCGGATATTATGTCGGGAGAGGTGCCCTCGGCTGCAGAGGACTAGCCGAGGGCTCTGAGTGCCGGGGACCCCCTGGGTGCCGAGGGCTCCGGGTGCCGAGTGCTACTGTTTTCTGCCGTTTTTCTCCCAGTTTCTTAGTTTGCTTGAAAAATCCGTTCTGTGAGAGTTTTGAGCCTTCGGCCAGGGGCCGAAGGCTCCCCAGTGCACGCTGTGGGCTGCTGAGTGCTTGGGGGCGCCGTAATTTGGGCCTGCTGTGCTTCCTGGGCCGGTTGGGCCTTTATTGGTGTAGTAGGAGTCTGTGGGCCGGGGGTTCCCGGGCCATATACTCCATCAGGAGTCCCTCACTCCTTTTGCCGAAAGGTACTTGAGGGAAAAGGAGTAATTTGTGCTTGCCCTTTGATGTTGTCCCGTTGTAATCTCTGAAGTTGGTGAGGAGTTGTTGCTTTCGTGTCCCTGCCGAAGGCAGTCCCTCAGTTACCCACATGTCGGGACTTGAGGGATTGCTTTGCCGTTTGTTGGAATTTTTCACCATTTTGTAATTTAATGATTTTCCCGAGGGGGTCCTCCAATCCCCCACTCCTTTAGGCATTTGTAAAGTGGTGAAAAGGAGTGAATTAGTTGCGTTGCTGTTGCGGGCCGAAGGCTGACGCTTTTCGTTTCATTTTGGGGGATGCCTCGTTAAAAACCTCATTAGGAAAACCCTGTGGGGAAAAATCCTAATGAGGGAAAAAGAGTGCACCGAATTCCCCCAACGATGAATCGAAAATGTGAAACCTTGGTTCAAAATGGAGAATGATGGTAACGCCGAAGGCTCTCCTTGTTCTGAGGGCTCATGCGTTGATTAGCCGAAGGCTTGTTGTTGATGTCCTGGGAGGTGCCGAAGGGGAGCCCCTCAATCTGGGGATCGAGGGCGTGATGGATGAGGGCAGTAGTTGAATTGTTACCGGGGTGTCCCCTGCTCGTTGATTAGTTGGTGACGAGGATATCTGAGGGCTCCTATTACCTGTGTGCTGTAGGCTATCCGTCAATGAGGCAAACTCCCCGGGGGCTACTCGGCCCTCACAATGCTGGGGGGGGACCCCCGAGGGGTGGCCTGATATGAAGCTTTGGGCTTCTGAAGGAGTGATCCCGAAGGCGTCTGTTATGTACTGTGTGGGGCACAACCCGGGGGCGTCTCTGGGTAAGTGTACCCGGAGGCTTTCCCTGATGAAGCGGAGTGAAGCAAGAAACCCGGGGGCTCCCAAAATATAGCCGTTGGAAATATAGCCGTTGGAATATGTAACGTCAGGATATAGCCGTTGGGGGGTTGCCACGTGGTGCGTGCTCGTTGGCCGCCCGTGGGCGGGCGTCACCGATTGGGCGATACCGCGGTCTGTAATGATGGTGATACAATCGGAGGCCCGGTTTCCAGGCCCAAGCCCGGATCCCAGCGCCTATAAATACCCCAAGGCCAGGGCCATTCTCCGCTGTGCGATCTCAGTGTGGCGAAGCTCTGGCAAAAATTTTCTAGAGAGAGAAACTTGCCCTCGGTTGAATCCTCAGTTCTCAAGGTCAGTTCCCCCCCTGCTCTTCTCCTTCTAGTTAGCTGTGCCTTGTGCCCTTAGGCTAGGAGATAGAATTTTCTAGAAAACCTTAGTTCTTCCGAGCCCTCGAGCTAGTGAGTAGATGTCTTCACAAAGCGACTCCCAGGATATCTCGGGGGAGCCTTCGGTCGAGATGGAGACGTGCTCAGATGTGGAGTCCTCGAGCGTGGAGTCCTCGGTGGGTGGTGATGCTGCAGTGGCCATGGAAGTGGAGAAGGACCTCCAGGCCAAAGTCGAAGCCGAAGGCTTCGAGCAAGAAAACGAGGATGAAGAGCTCGCCCTCGCCGTGCGAACTGCCGAGCAAGAAGAGGAGAGGGAGAGGATGAAGGTGACGGTCGCCATTCTCCCCCCTCGTGGTACCGGGGAAGCCAGCTCATCCCGGCCATTGGACCCGACGCCCATCAGTGTGGCTCCCGGGAAGAAAAAGAAGATGAAGGCGGCCCCGAGGAAGAAACAAGCGACCGTTGACGCCGGGCGGCCGGTAGGCATACCCGAGGGCCACTCGTTTCTGAACACTGCCGCTCTGGAGCTGAAGACGAGAGCGTCCCCGGCAGAATACCAGGCCACTCAGATGCTGGTTGGCCCTTCGGCGCGCGTGGTGGAGCCCAGGGCAGATGATCTACTGCGATATGCGCCCGAAGGGTGTTTTGCTGTTCACACTCTCTCTGTGGAGATGGGGCTTCGGTTTCCGCTTCATCCTTTTTTGCTGGAGTATTTGAGGTTTGTGGGGTTGGCCCCCTGCCAGCTAACGCCCAACAGCCACTCCTACGTGGCCGGCTTCCTCTCCTTGTGCCAGAGCCGGGGGTTGAGCCTACACTTGACCAATTCTTCATGTCCTTCAACCTCTGCCGGGGGGGGGGGGGGGCATTCAAATGCTGAGGGCTTCGCCAACCTTCAGCAGGTACCGGAGTTCAGGCTTTTTGACGACGTGCCCTCGTCCCACAAGGGGTGGAAGGAGAGATTCTGCTATATTCGGCTCGAGGAGAACCCCTTCCCGGCCCAGCTCCGCAATAGCTTCCGGCGCCACCCGAAGGTGGGGAGCGCAGCTCTGGAGAAGAATGGCAAAGTGCTTGCCAAAAAGCCGGAGGGGTCTGACAAGCACGTCAAGATTAGAGACGTCACCCTCCCCGAGGAATTGCTTAGCCTGGGCTTCCGGCAGTTCAGGCCGAGGGGCTCTTCGGATGAAAGATACCCTCCCATCGATCGAGTCTTCGAAGGAGCTGGAGGTGATTATCGAAGGGTTCATTTATGCCTTGATAGTTTTTTTTATTTCCTATCTTTTATGACGTAGTAATTGATAGCCTTCGGTCTAACCCTCCTGTGTTTTGTTTGCTTGCAGGTAATAACATGGACGTTGGTTCTCTTTTCGCTCTGAAGAATGCGAAAGGGAAGAAGAAGGCCCCGGCGGGCACTTCTGCTAGGGAGGGGCCCTCTCAACCTGCTGTTGCCGCTGCTGGCGCCAGAGGGTCCAGGAGGGCCGGGCCCGCGAAGAAGAAGAACGCCGGCAAGGGAACCGAGCCCCTGGCAAAGAAGCCGAAGACTGCCGCCCCTGCCAAACAGCCGGCCACCGATGTGGTGGTGATCGTTAATGAAGGGCACGCCTCTGCCCCCACCTCCCAGGAACACATCAACCGGGAGTTCTTCGGGCGGGAGAAGCTGGAGGCGCTAGTGCCGAAGGGAGCTTCCGTGTTGGAGGGCAGCCTGAACCCTTCGACACTGATGAGCCAGATGCTGCCGTCGGCTGACCGACTGGCCCTTGCCAGGTTGGATGAGGGATCCCTCGAGGCGAAGGTCCTTCTGAATGCTGCCTCCGTAAGTCACCCCCCCCCCCCTTCCTTGTTTGTTGTTGTGCTTTTTTCTTTTGTAATGTGCTCATCGTGCCTTATCCTTCACTTTTGTGAATTGCAGAGCTTTATGGGCCTCTGCGAGCACCTCCGGAGGGTGGAGCAAATGAGGGAGGCCAAGGGCGCAGCCGAGGGGGAGGCCGCCCTCCTCAGGAAGAAGCTCGTCGAGGCTGAGGACTCTCTCCGCCTGGCTACCGACGGCCTGGAGCAGAGGGTGCAGGCTGCAAGGGCTGAAGGGGTGAATGAGGGCCTGGCCAGGGCCGGGGAGGCTGCTGCCGAGGCCGCCCGCATTGCTGCTGATGAAGCCCGCGCAGCTCAAGAAGAGGCCGTCTCCAAAGCCCGAGAGGATGCGGTGGCCAGCTTCACTGTCGAGGGATGGAAGGCTGAAGACCGGAGGGAGTGGCTCGCTTCGGTGGTGGGGGCTTCGGTGGACGAATGGGTCGGAGAGCCCGGAAAGATGTGGCTTGCTGAGAGGGGCGACTCGTACTACCAAGGCGGGGAGTTCTTCACCCAACGCCTTATCTACCGGAAGCTTGCGAAGCACTTTCAGATCGCATCAGAGGAATTCCATCCAGAGGCTTATGGCCTCCCCCCTCGTCAGCCAGACATCAGGATCCCGCTCCCCGAGGGGGAAGAGAGGCCAGTGCTTGAAGATTCGGAGACCCTCCGGGAGTGCGGCCTCGGGGGTGATGAGGATGAGGCCGAGAGTGAGGCAATTTCTACAGCTCCCCCTTCCTGAAATGTATTCCCCCTGTATTGTAGTCATACTCTGTTGTAATTGTTGGCTTCGGCCCCTTTTGTAATGTACATTTAAACTTCCCTCCGTTGGATGAATGAGTACATACGCCTTCGGGCTTTTGATATATAACATGCTTCCTTTTGATTTGTTTATTCTCGAATGTATGCCGTCGTTTCCTTCTGAATGTATGCCCTCGCCCTTCTTTGAATGTATGTTTAGGACTTAGAATATTTTCTTCCAAGTGCGGTGCTTCTTGTAGCCCTCGGCTACTAGTAACCTTTAGTTACTTTAACGTTTTACCGGGGGCACGATGTTCAGGACTTAGAAATATTTCTAAGTGTTTGTTCATCTGTTGGCCCCCGGCTGATCTTCCCTTCTGGTTCCGTGTAGCCTTCGTGCGATGGCCGGAGGTGAGGTGCTTAGGACTTAGAGAATTCTTCTAAGTGTTTGAATACAGTCATAGCCTTCAGTAGTTGGGCACCCTTTGCTAGATGTATGACCGAGGGCCCAGCAATAGTTAGGACATAGAAAATTTTTCTAAGTGTAGTCTCACCAAGCCTTCAATCGTGTGACCCCTCGGGTTGTAGGGGAGATTCGGGACTTAGAAACTTGTCACCGAGGGTAAGACCTTTTGGGACTTAGAAATTTTTCTAAGTGTTGCACGTATGTAGTAGGAGCCCTCAGTCAGCATGGAGATTTGACCGAGGGTCAAAGTATGTAGGACTTAGAAAAATTTTCTAAGTATAGCTTCACCAATTCTTCAACCGCATGGCCCCTCCGGTAGTATGGAGAGTTGACCGAGGGCCAAAATATCTAGGACTTAGGAAATTTTCCTAAGTGTAGTATGTGTGAAGTTGGAGGCCTCGGGTGACTGTGAGGTGTTTGCGGTATGCCCTCGGCTGGCTGGTGGCTCCACAAGGGGTAAAGCATTTAGGACCTAGCTTGTTTTTCTAAGAGAAGCACACCATAGGGCCTCCGGGTGTTTGTAGTTCAATTTTTGTGAGATGATTAGGTTGAGAACCCAATCCTTAAGACTTAGAAAAATTTCTAAGTGTAGTTCCCCATTAGAAGCCCTTGGCTGGTAGCCTCCTTCCTGATGTGTGAATATTTGACCGAGGGCCAAATATGTAGGACTTAGAAACTTTCTAAGTGCTGTTGCATCAAGTAGCCTTCGGCTATCATGGTCCCTCAGTTGAAATATTGATCAGGCCGGGGGCTCAATCTTCAGGACTTAGAAAATTTTCTAAGTGTTGCTTCCTTGTGTAGCCTTCGGTTAGTAATAGATGCCTCCGGCTGTTGTCATTTTCCAAAAGTGTGGACTTAGGAAAATTTGTAGGACATTGATGTTGTAGTGAATGCAGGTGGGATATAGGTGCCCTCGGCATTCTCTTGAAGGGTTGTTGAGCTGCCTTAGTCAGTCGCATCCCCTTTTACAGGATAAGACCCCTCGGCAGCAATGGATGACCGATGGTAGGTGCCCTCGGCACTTATCTGCAGTGAACTTAGCCGTTTAGTGTACTTGAGACAGTCCAATCCCTTTGCATTGTTGAGTAGTAACCTTCGGGAAATAGGAGCCTTCAGTTATCGGAGGTGTTCCCTTAGGGAGCCCTCGGTATGCTGTGATTTGTTGGAGTGTCGTACTCATTGATTTCTCGATGAGTCTACTCCCCTTCACCCCCTCTGTTTTTTTTTTGGTTGGTGGTGAAGGGAAGGCATCAAGAAACTTGGTTTGTTGGTAAGGCTGGGCCTATCAGGAGACCATCAGAATACACTAATGGCTCTCCTCCCTCGGGTTAACCTTCCGAGTTCCGAGGGGATCGAGGGTCGTTTCCTGGGCACAAGATATGGTGGTCTGTAACCTGCCTCCCCTTGGGGGATGGCGCGGAAAGCGCCTCAGTTTTGAAAGTCGTCCCCTCGGCGCTAGACATAGTCCGTGGCCTGCCACACCCTTGGGGTGGTAGCGCGGGGAGCGTTTCGGTTTGGAAGTCGAATCCTGGGCATTTCTCGTGCCTGTCATACCCTTGGGGTGATGACGCGGAAAGCGTTCCGTTTTTGAAAGTCGAATCCTGGGCATTTCTCATGCCTGTCATACCCTGGGGGTAGTGACGCAGAAAGCGTTTCAAGGAAGGGTTTTCATTTGCACACTAGTTGCAAATGGCCGGGGGCACTATGTGCCGCCGGCACCGATGGTGACGCCTTCGGTATATGCGTCCTCGTGGGGTACGACTTTAGAAACAACACTTGGTGTTAGTTTCGATATGTAGCCCCCCGGTACTTGGTACCGAGGAGTCTTCTGTAGGAACACTTAGTGTTCTTCTTCTATTTGATGTTGATGGTGGAGATGTGTACCCTCGGCACTGGGTGCCGAGGGGTCTTGAAATGAAACACTTGGTGTTTCCTGTTGCCGGTGATGGGAGTTCCCACCTTCGGTACTTGGTACCGAGGGGTCTTGTTCAAAACACTTGGTGTTTTCACTGTTGTTGAAGGTGTTGGTGGTGTCCGCCCTCGGCACTTGGTGCCGGAGGGGGTTCTTCTCGTGGTGAGGCCTGGGGCCTGTAGTTGGTATGAGGGCTTGGCCGCTCATAAGTGTTTCGTGGTTGTTCTTGGTGTCTTGAATGTGTCTTCATTCTTCAGAATTGGAGGCCTTGGGCCATAGGATAGTACATTCACTAGTTATGAGGGCTTGGCCGCTCTTACATTATTGATAAAATTTAACTAAGTGGTGTACATTCCAGTGCCTAGGGACCTCTTTCCCGTTGGGGCGTTTGAGCTTGTAAGTCCCAGGTTTGATGATGGCTGCTATGATGTAGGGACCTTCGAACTTTGGTGCCATTTTGCCTCCCTCGGTTGGTTGGCTGGCTTCCCTCCTCCGGAGGACATAGTCCCCCACTTGGAATTCTCTGGTGCGAACCTTGGCGTCGATGTAGCCTTTGACTTGCCTTCGGTAGTTTTCTGCCCGGATGAAGGCTTGCTCCCGTCGTTCTGAAAGGAGATGGAGGTCGAGGGCCATGTTGCTGTCGTTGACCTCGGGGTCATATTGGATCACCCTCCGGGTGGGAAGGGTGACTTCCGTAGGAGCTTTGGCTTCAAACCCGTAGCAGAGGGAGAAGGGTGTTTCACCTGTTGCTTGCCGAGGGGTGGTGCGGTAGGCCCAAAGGATGTTGTGGAGTTCTTCTACCCAGCCACCGCCCTCGGCCTCCATCTTCTTTTTGAGGCCCTCGAGCAAGATCCGGTTGGCGTTCTCTACTTGCCCGTTGCCCTGAGGGTAGGCAACGGAGGAGAAGGTGTGTTTGATGCCCCATGCCTCCAAGAGGGCACAGAAGGGGGCTGCCTCAAATTGTGTTCTGTTGTCGGAGATGATCTGCTGGGGGACGCCAAACCTTGTGAGGATGTTCTTGAGGACGAAGTGACAGCACTTCGCCTTTGTGATGCTGGCGAGGGGCTCAGCCTCCACCCACTTGGTAAAGTAGTCGATGGCCACAATGATGTACCTGTTGTTGGAGGTACCCCTCGGCAGAGGGCCCACAAGGTCTATCCCCCATCGAGAAAAGGGGACGGATGTGCTGATGGGGGCATAGTTGACCGCTGGCCTGCCGGGGGCTTTCTGGAAATGTTGGCATGCGGTGCACCTTCGGGCAAGGTCAGCACAATCTCTGGCCATGGTTGGCCAGAAGTAGCCCTGGAGAATGAGCCTTCGGGACATGAAGAAGGGTCCCTGGTGAGCCAAGCAAGTGCCACTGTGCACTTCCTCCATTGCGACCTCGGCTTCATCTTGATGAAGGCATCGAAGTAGCGTGCCGTTGTAGGACCGTTTGTAGAGCCTTCCGTCTTCGATGGTGTAGCTAGGAGCCCTCAACTTTGCTAGTTTAGCGCGGGTCTCATCTTCGGGTAGCTGCCCTGTGGAGATGAAGGTGATGATATCTAAGATCCAGTCCTCTTGGCGTTGTTGTATGTTCATGACGGGGCTCGCATGGATACTCGAGAGACTGAGTTCCTCAATTTTAGCAATCTTAGAGATGTGCTCGGGGGAGTCGGCCGAGAGCTTAGATAGTATATCGGCCTCGGAGTTCTGAACCCTCGGTATTTGAGTGAGAGAGTGTGCCTCAAATACCTTAAGCAACTCCTTGGGCGCCTCCTTGTACTGTTTCATTCTTCCCTCCTTGGCCTCATACTCCTCGGAGATTTGGCCAACGACCAACTTGGAGTCGCATTTGATATGGATCTCCCGAGCCTTCATGTTGGCAGCCAGCCGAAGGCCACATAGGAGGGCCTCATACTCGGCCTCTTTGTTGGAGACTTTGAAGGAGAAGTGGATTGCATAGTAGGCTTTGAAGCCCTCGGGAGTAATGAGGACTACCCCTCCCCCGCATGCTTTGGTTGCGGAGGAGCCGTTGGTGTAGAGGGTCCACCAGTCGTCCGAGGTAGCCGAGGGCTCCCCGTCCGTGGCTGCCCTTGCGGTACACTCCGTCACAAAGTGCGCCAGGGCTTGGCCCTTGATGGCAGGCCTCGGACGGATGTCAATGTTGTACTGGCTCAAGAAGATAGCCCACTTCACCATGCGGGAGGAGCTGGTGGGGCTCCTCATGAGGGTGCCGAGGGGTTGATGAGTGAGGACCTGAACCGAGTGAGCCTGAAAGTAGTGGCCCAGCTTCTTGACGGTCCAAACGATAGCTAACACCGTTTTTTCCACAGGAGAGTACCTGAGCTCGGCCTCCCTTATGGTCTTGCTTACATAGAAGATGGCATGTTGGATGTCGTCTTCCTCCCGGATGAGCACAGAGCTGATGGCCGCCGGGCTGACCCCAAGGTAGAGGTAGAGGGTCTCCCCTACCATTGGTTTGGAGAGCACAGGGGGTGAAGATAGGTATCGTTTGAGCTCGTCGAAAGCCTCCTGGCATTCTGGTGTCCATTGAAAGCCAGCCGTCTTCCTCATGATCTGGAAGAAGGGTAAAGACTTCTCCGCTGATTTAGATAGAAAGCGGTTGAGGGTTGCCAGACGGCCCGCCAACCGTTGAACTTCCTTCACATTGCGTGGGGGCTCCATGTTGATGATGGCCTGGATCTTCTCGGGATTGGCCTCA